GCCAAGTTGTGGGCCAGTAGGCGCCGCCAGAGTAGTCGTACGAGCAGCCGGATGCGTCATCGTGAACGGACTTGGTGGTGGTATCATGGTCCGTGGTGACTGCCCACTGGAACCTGGCGGGGTTTTGCGCATTGTGAGAGATAGCTCAAGCGCTCGAGGCAGGCCGGGTGTGGGTATCGAATTTTGCTTGGTAGGGAAGAACTTCTAGTCGAAATGATGTCGCTATGGAGAAAGAGTAAGTGGTCTCGGTAGAAGCCGAACACAGCGCTACTCAGAACGGGCCAACGATATTAGTAGCTTGTGGGACCAGGTAGACGTATTCGACCAATGGAAGCCAGTCGTCAAAACCTCATGCTGCCTTGGCGTGATGCAAGATGCGGAAGATGGGAACTTGTGGATGAACAAGATAAGTGACAGGTCTTCGCTCCAAGTGGAGAAACCGTGCAAGCGAGCGGTAGGTTGGGCAGATTGAGTGACTCGGGCATACAGAAGGCTGGAGCGCGATAGTCGGTCTTCTGTGTCGCCTGAGTAAGTGCTGTCAGCCAGCCGCTCGGCTGAGTGGCCGAGATGCCACAGCTTTAGGTTAGGGTCAGTGGCTAGGCTGGTTAGGGTGAACTGCGAGGTGGTGCGTGATGATTGAACTTTCACGGCTGTGAGGAGACAAGAGACGCTTCGGCAGACGGCAAGGTTCGTGGGAACGATGTTAAATCTCGGCAAAGATCCGATGAAGGAAATACTGGGTATCTCGGGGATGTCGTATGGGGCTAGTATGCTAGTCAGAATGCTGCAATGATCAGCTCAATTCCCAGTTGTAGTGAAGTTCGTCTAGCAACCTTGTGGTAAGGCGGTAGAAGGACCCTGTCAGGTCGCCACCTTTCGATCTCGGATGGATGCTCTGAGCGACACAGGGGATTGGCGAAAGTGCTTCGTTTAAAGCACGTGTCGACTTGGCGATGCGCTGAAATGGAAAGGAGCTTCGGGGACCCTGTACAAAGCTCCGTGTCCTGGCAGAGTAAGGGACTTTAGCAAGGCTTGTTCAACGACACCAAGGAGCAGAGGTCTCCTGTGCATTCGACGTACCGGTATACGGGAGGATCAAAGTTTATTGCGGGTTGATAGTATCACGAATGCCCAGATATGTGGTTTGGCTCCCGTCCACGAGTGGGCCGATAGAAGTCGTGCAAACCTATGTTTTTGTGTCTCGTGAGTACTGCCCAATGGCTCCGCACACGGCATACAGTTGGTGCTGCTTCGACTAGAATGAGACGAAGCGAGTGTTCTAGTTCAAATTCTACACGGGCTGGTAGCTCCGTTAGCAGGCTCGGACGTAGATCCGGATGGCTAGTCTTACCTGACAGCTTGTCCGGCTCTGATGAAGCCTCATGTTCCAGAAGATGATCGGTTCGTGCCTAAATGCCAGACGGTCCACATGGCTTCACCCAAAACGTCCAAGGCATACCTTTTCGGCGAGATTCATACAGGGGTCTACCTGCATGCGGCATTGAAGAAAGGCACTTCGCTAACGCCTGCAGCCATGGCAAAAGCACACGGGATTTCGAATCTGCAAGCACGAGGATTACTCGGATGAAGCGCTCTGGACTTCGAAAGACGATGGCAAAAAAGGCGCCGAAGGATGAGTTTTCGGTCCCCAAGAAGATAGGGAACACCGTCATGGTGGTTCACTAGCGATCTGTCCCGACATGCCCTAGTGGAATTCGCGGAGACTGTAGCCAGGCCTCCTCAGCCACAGCACGTTGAGCGGTGCAATCACCGTGCACGGTAAGCCACAGCCACATCAATTGCCGTGTGGCTTCCGATTTGTTGGTTCACCTTGAACCTACGTAATGCTCACACTGATGTCACTATGAACAAGATTCTTCGAACATCTTATTCGATAAGAACCTAAGCGTTGAGTTAACACTACCTCATTCAGGACAGTGTTCCGAGAATTGTTCTGCGCGCGTCGCCGGAGAACATCCCTGACCTTGCGGCGCCCGTCACCCAGGCGTGGCACCGCTTGCAAAAACGTGGTTCCCCACGTTGCAGCGCGTGCCCGCGCCCGTCGCGGAAGCCCCACAGACAAGGCCAATTCATCGCTAGTCAGTCCTTCTGTTGATTTCGTGCTTGGCGTCGACAGCGGCTCGGCCAGTCAGATGCAACGTGAAGAGCAATGCGAAGCCGAGGTGACCAGAAACCAGGTCAAGGCGGGTGGAAATTTACTGTCAACTGCCGAACCGCTCGTCTAGACCGCGCCGCGGCCCCTCGCCACCTGAAACTGACAGCTGCCGGATAGCAAGCCCGGATAGGTGCCTTACGAGGCTTTTGACGGGCGTCTCAAGAACGGTGCTATGTTTCTGATACACGGCAGGGTACATTGCGGTATCCGCAAGAGCGAGCACCAATCTCAGTGGTCTGTAGCATCTGTTGAGCATGTCGATCTGGACGTGCATACCAGAGGCCCGCAAAATGCTTCTACGGTACGATTTGTCTCTGCAAGTCGGAGTTTTGATCTTTTTATATCCTGTGCGCCGTTGCACATGTCGCGTGGAGCGGAAGGTATGAAATGTGACACCCGACGTCAGTCCAAGTATCGATTCGATGCTGTCCCCTCTGGCTGCATAGTTGTGTGTCGACGAGGTCCCGCACACACTCTGAGTAGTAAACAGAGGTTAAAAGATCTACAGTTGTGATCGCTCGTTGATCATCTATGATTGCGCGGCCCCCTGGCGGGTCGGTAGCTTCCGTCCAAGGAAGGCAGCCGATGGGGTTTTGAGAAAACGGACTGGGATGACAGATAGGGTAGCGTGCTGTGAGCCGCTCATCTGCGAGAATGGACCGAATGCGTCTTGGCGGACCCGAAGTTGAGTTCTGCAACCCGAGTTTGACGTGCGATCGGCCCTCCGATAAGACGCCGTTGGAGGCAGGCTAAAATTTCGCCGGTGATCTTTCGCCTGGCGGTTTCCAACCACGGCGATCAGCACATGTCAGTCCCGAACAGGATGTCATGCAGAAAATCTCTTAGACGCTTGGAGAAAGGGAGAAGCTTGTCTCTGGCGGGCGGATGGAGATCTGCGAAATTCGGAGTCGTGTTGGGGTAGAGTGGCGATGTGATAACGCGTCGTCGTGTTCGCGGCAGTTTCTCCAGGTCGGCGAGGAGGGCGAGAACAGTATGTATCGACAGCAAAACCGTTGAAGGATGCACGTTGATGTTCCTGCAATATCCGCTACGCTCTTCATGGTGGGTGCATGTGGTGTCGTCGGAATGCGCCAAGTTCTTCGCGCCTTCCATGCCTCCCGCCGACTACGAAGCCGGTGTTTACTTCCGATACTCGAGGCAGGCGCACTCGAGCGCGCAGCACCACCTGCCCAGGTGGGTAGTGGATCTTCGCTCACGTGCCGTAGCCATCGTCGACATCTCACTTGAGCAGTTGATTCACGTCGCGTCTCGATGTTGTGGCCTCGAGGGCCAGCCATGTCTCACACCAGCGTCCCCATTATGTCCTTGTACGATGCTTCGATATTGCCGCATACCTAGATCCGACAACCTTAACTGCACCTCCAGCCAACACTCGAGATTATGCTTTTTCCTGTAGCGCAGCGCGCGGCGCAGATAAAAGCACCTTGGTAGTCTCCGGGACTATGCATGGAGAACACAGGCAAGCTCTGAGCTTTAGAGCGAATTATTCTCCGACTCGATATCACGCATCCGCCTGGTCGCAATGTATCGTGTATATTCCCACCCCGACTTATTAACATCGACTGACCGACTCTCTCATCGAAAGTTCTCGTCACAACCTTAGGAAGAGCATGTGCACTGGATAACACGCTACCCCACGCAGCAGACTAGCGTCACTTACAGCCTCGGTACATCACGTATGCATTGATACAACTTCGGATGGCTGGGCACCATCAGCACCGAGGTCGCTACATGAGTATTCGTGAACCACGATTAATCAACATTTTTGCATAATAACGCACTGTTGCCATTATCGCTGAGTAAACCGCTTCATTGACACAATCATCATGGCATCCGCGGAACAAGATGTGCAGCTGCACGACTTTACCAACATCTTCAGCCTGAAAGGCAAAGTCGCAGTCGTGAGTGGCGGATCTCGAGGATTAGGTCTCCATGCAGCATCAGGGTAAATAGATCCATCTGCTTCCGCCCATCATCCCACCGCACCTGCCTAACACAAGACCAGCCTGATGCAAGCTGGCTGCTCCAAAATCTTCATCACCTCCCGTAAAGCCTCAGCCTGCGATGCCGCCGTCGCAGCCCTGAATGCGCTCCCTAACAAGTCGCCTGGTGCAGTGGCTATTTCCATTCCCGCGGATAGCTCCAAGGTCTCCGAGATCGACCGGCTTGTGCAGGAAGTCAGCAAACACACTGATCACGTGGACATTCTCTTTGCCAATGCAGGAGCGACCTGGGGCAGCAAGTTTGAAGAGGCGGACGAGAAGAACGGATGGGATAAGGTTATGGACTTGAACGTCAAGGGCGTATTCTTCACGATCCAGAAGTACGTCTCGTCTTATCCCTTGATGATAGTGCTAATGTAGGCGCATAGACTTACACCCCTCCTCACAAAATCTGCAACCGTACAAGACCCCTCGCGCGTCATTGTAACAGGCAGTGTCGCAGGAATCGGTGTGGGCTCTCTCGGCGAGACAGGCTCTTGGTCATACTCGGCTTCCAAAGCCGCAGTTTTGCATCTTGCACGCAACCTTGCTGTTGAACTAGGACCCAGACACATTCTCGTCAACGGGATCGCACCCGGATTCTTCATGAGCAAGATGGCGGGTGTACTGATGGAGAAGGCTGGTGGTGAAGAGGCATTGGGAAAGACTAACCCGAATGGAAGGGTAGGAAAGCCAGAGGACATCGCAGCTGCAGTTGTGTATCTGAGCAGTAGGGCTGGTGGCCATGTTAACGGGGACACCATTGTGCTTGATGGAGGCAAGATTCACGGAAGTAACAAGTTGTAGAATTCCAGGGACGACTAGGCTTCGCCCTCAGGAATACGCATCCCATGCATTCCCCTATACCCGCTCTTCTCGGGCTTATTCCATTCCTTCAACACCTCGCCTTTGACCTCTTCCTTGATTTCATACACCTCCACCCTAATAGGTCGACACGTACTTTTCATCCCCTCATCGTCATCTCCCTCTTTCTTCTCATTTCCCTCTTCTGCCTGCGTCCAGCCCCAACGGCTCAGGTCGCCACCAGGACACGTACTCAGCGCACATAGCAAGTCCAACTCGGCGAAGAACGTAAGAAAGCTATCCTTGGTCGCAGGACTAGCTTCCATGAAGTAGCGGCCTTGGGAGTCTAGACCAGTGACCTGAAATACGTTGAGTACGTCATGAACATCGAATTCCGTCAGGCCATATGGCAAGATGGAACGGACGAGATTGGAGTGGCAGTAGTAATCGTAAGATGAGGATGTCAGCATGTTCGACACTGTATTAGTCGTCAGCATGGCCTCTACGCGCATTCTCTTTTGAGTAGAAGAATCTCCAGCTACAAGAACAAGGGGAACCCGACAAATCAACCCATCCAAACCAACCCTCAGACCCGCGCATTCAAACGTACCATAAGGATCACACCTCGTCCCCAACAAATCATTACACCGTCCACCCCACCTCGTAACCCCACCCCTCTCATCCCTGTTGCTCTCCCTCCCCTTCCCCATGCCCTTCCCCTCGGAATCCCTAATCTCACATCAATCCTCCACAAGCCCACACATCGGCCTCATAAACGGGAGGCAACTCCACAGCCTATCCCCTTGCACCACATGACTCCCCTGCAACTGCCTCGTCCTAGACGCCCAGAAACGCTCTCGGGGATCATGCTGGTTCCACACGTTTAAATCGCCGACTTGGGGGACTTCGGGCGTGGAGAGACGGAATAGTGCGCCTGCGGGAACGGTCCAGGCTTTTCCGCTGCGGGGTGGGATGGTGAAGTCTTGGGTTTTTACTAGGTCTTGGGGGGAGATGTTCCGGAGGGTGGTGTACAGGGCTGTTGGGGGGTGGAGGGGAGAGTCGGCGGATGTGGGGAAGTAGGCTGGGGCTGGAGGGATGTTGGTCCGGTCGTTTTCTGCCATGGTGGTTGTGCTTGTTGGTAGAGGGAATATGCTGGGGGTGGGCAGGGTTATGGTCGTGATCTTGTATAGATATGGTGACGCGGATCGGAGTCGTAGATAGAGTTTGGGCCGTGGTATGTCATCCATATGTCGGGCATGACTTCACACCAACCGGTATCCACATCTACGGGTCCATGAGCCGGCGATAAGCGTTGTATAGGATGCATGTGCCGATGTCGGATACGCCCTGGGCATGGCAAGAACAAGAGCGATTGCTGTGGGAACTGTGCCGATGAATACGTCTGGTAGGCAAGCGAACAAGAACACAGAATGCGAGTATTGTAAGGTTCTACATATTTGATTTGAGTACAGCTATTGATACCTTTGTTTAGATATTCTCATTCCGTTTAGACAGCACTTTTTAAACTCCAATGCCCCGACCTTTTACATCCCAAATGCTACATGCGATATGTGTGAATGGAGAAACTGAATTGAGCGTTGGTAAGACTTCATGCCGCTACACGCCCGCACTCTTGACGTCCGCTTGACTGCCGTTGACAGCAGCCTCTAGCTTATCCACTATTGTGCTTCCATTTTGTTTGCCATTTCGTGTAGGACTTGAGTCTGGGCTGGGGATCTCGAGGGTGTTCGATCGCTTGGGGCGGAAAGGAATGGGTGTGGTAGGTCTCGAAGATAGAAACTGTGATGTGTTAGCCAAAGTGCTGCTTATCATCATAAGAGAAGACCTACTGAAGAAGCTGCGCTCAACATAGCGATGAGAGACGCTTGAACCACATCCTGGTGGATGCCAACACCCCAGACCTTCTGACTGCTCTGCGCGGCTGTGCAACCAATGTAGGTCGCGGCCTTTGCGTCTTTGCTTGTACCAATCGTGTGCTCGTTGTAGTCGACAACGTCCAGGTCGATACCCAGACTCCTCAGTGCATCGGCCAGCGATGAAAGCGCACCGGTTCCCGAGCCCTGGATCTTGTGTTCCTGGCCATCAATCTCAATGACACCGTTAAAGATACGGCGCAGGTTGCGGCTGCTGACTGTTCGGCCGTCTTGCGGTGGCAGAGGTGTCTCTGATCGGTCGGCCTTGATTTCGTAATCGACAAGGGAGAAGCGAGGGTTGCGCTTGAGGTGGTAGGCTTCTTCGAAGAGGTTCGTGATCTCGGTTGGCAGGAGTTCGCGGCCGAGCATGTCGGTCTCCTTCTGCACAATCTTGGAGAAGGCGATTTGCAGACCACGAGGCAGGTCGAGTTCGAGCTGGCGCTGGATGATCCAGGCGATTCCTCCCTTCCCACTTTGTGAGTTGACGCGGATGATGGCTTCGTACGTGCGGCCGATATCTTGGGGGTCGAGGGGAAGGTATGGGATCTGCCACCGGCTCTCGTTGTCCGCGCCGTTCTTCTTGCGCATCTGGAATCCCTTCTTGATTGCGTCTTGATGTGAGCCGCTGAAGGCGCATACAACAAGCTGGCCTCCGTATGGCGCGCGCGGATGTATCGGGATCTTGTTGCAGCTCTCCACCATATCGATGATTGACTTCAGGTCAGAGAAGTCGATCTTTGGATGTATGCCCTGGGTGTACAGGTTGAGGCCCAGGGTGACGAGGTCGACGTTTCCTGTGCGCTCTCCGTTGCCGAACAGCGTGCCTTCTACTCGGTCTGCACCCGCCATTTGTGCCAGTTCTGCTGCCGCTACTGCGCATCCTCGGTCGTTGTGTGGGTGTAGAGAGACGCAGATCTTCTCCCTCTCGGAGATGTTCTTGCAGAAGTACTCGATTTGATCGGCGTAGACGTTGGGTGTCGACATTTCCACGGTGGCTGGCAGGTTGAAGATCAGCGGGTTCTCTACACTTGGTTCCCACGCTGCCTTGACAGCCTCACAGACCTTGATGACGAACTCTGGGGACGAATCTGAGAAAGTTTCGGGCGAGAACTCGTATGCCCACTCTGTGCCGGCTTGCGCAGGGTCGTCCTTGGTTATCGAGCGCGCGTACTTTGTGCATTCGACTGCGAGGGCGATAGTCTCATCGTCGTTCATGTTGAAGACGATCTGCTGGAAACACGGGCTGGTCGCGAGGTACAGGTGGAGGATGGCCTTGCGCGCGCCCTTGAGGGAGTCGACGGTGCGGCGAATGAGCTCTTTCCGGCATGGCGAGAGGACCTGGATCCAGACATCGTCAGGTACTATGCCGGGTGTTTGGATGAGGCGTTGTGTGAAGTCGAAGTCGGTTTGCGACGCGGAGGGGAAGGAGACTTCGATTTCCTTGTAGCCGAGCTTGACTAGCATGTTGAAGTAGTCCCATTTTTGCGCGCCATCCTGCGGTCCGTGTCAGATGTTGGTTCGCAGCGGCTTCTGGGTATATTGGTACTTACCATAGGATCTACTAGACTTTGGTTGCCGTCTCTCAGGTCGGTCGACAGCCAGCGTGGTGGCTTCTCGATGGTCTTGTTAGGCCATGTCCTGTCCGGCAGGTTCAATGGCTTGAAGGGATGGTACTTCTTCCAGGGCTCCTTGAGCATGGGCATCTTGGTGTGATTAATGCAGCAGGTATCTTGAGGCGCTACTTTGAGAACAGTGTCTTGATGGCCCAGCGACAACAATGGAGGGCCAAAAATGTATCTTGGGTGAATTCGAGCAGAGTAAACACACTTGGGATATGGAAAGACGCAGGAGACGTGCGCACAGGCAGACTATTAGTACAGCGCGAGGTATGATTCACAGCAAAAGAAAACTTTGGTCGGTGATACTAAGGCCTTGAGCCGGCCACTGGGAATGGCATATGACGATGCGGGGCGCAGAATTCGCTTGCGCGCGCCCTGTGCATTCAATTGCGGGGTCCGACTTCGGGCTGCCTGAGCTCTACCAAACCGACAAATCATGCTACGCGGATTTGATTGTGTACGGACCTCCGAGGCTTCACGCGGAAACCCAAAGCATGATGACCGAGGTGTGCATAGCTATACGGACGTGTATACAGCCGCAAACACGTTGTTTGTACGCCTTTCAGCCTGTGACTGAAAGCGGGTATTCCAGGTACACCATCCCAACATTTTAGCGCCACTAATGCGATGGAGCGGATTCCAACGTTGCCCGCAACAAGTAGACTGTCATTAACCTACACCACAACAGTCTGTGGTCACCGTTGAAGCCCTCCACACAACCGGAAACCTGCCGGTTTGTGGCTAGCTAACGCTCCCAGCCCAGCTAGAAGATTGGCACCCGCAAACCACAGCACTCCACTTCACTGCCCTTGACCCCAACAGTACGTCCGAAGTACAGACTGCCAAATTCCTGCACAAAGGCGCGATCAGCCTCTGACCATGTATCCAGCCCCATTCGCGACAGGTCGTCTCTGTCAACAATCAATGCATCGCTGTCATTATCGTCATCGTCTCCTCTTTCACCTTGAGTATCCGCCTCGATGATTTGCGATAGCGTTCGTATGAGCAGCGAAGACTGTCGATGGAAGTACGCAATTATTGCTGTCTCCAACGACTGTGAGTAGGCGGAGAGGTCGCCAATCAGCTCGCGGTCCGTCTCCCGCTCGGCTGTCGTGTATGCATCTCTCTCGCCAGCCGAAGCCCACCACATGTAGCCCATGTATGCAAGCCTTGACCACGTTGTTGGTTCTACCACCGTGTCGTCGTATGCTTCGTTGAAGTCGTCGTCGGCGCGTTTGGTATCGACTTCGTCGCGCGACAGCAGGGGAGCAGTGTCGTCGTTCTCGTCGTCCGTATACGGCTCGGGCGATGTTTCCGATCTCGTACGCTGCTTGAAAAGCTCCTTGTGCAAAAGCTTGTAGCGCGCAACATCCCGCTGGCTGGCCTTGATCAAACTGCCATCGCTCGTTCGTATCCGTGGCCAGCGGCGTTCTTGTGGGGGCGCATCGTAAGTGGGTGGTAGTTCGACGATGATGTCGTAGAGCTGCGTCTTTGTGACAATGATTTCGTCGGTTGTGCACGCCGCCCAGCCCTCTGATGGCTCGAGGCCTGGTGTGTGTCCGCCGTGTTTGGGCTTGCGAAGGTCGTCGAGGAGAGGTATGTCGTGTACGCCGACGGAGAAGAGGGTGGGTAGGCGTAGGAGGTTTTCGGTCTCTGGAGGCAAACGTTCGGTGTCGCGAGGCGATATGCTAGACAGGACAGACAGATTGTAGACTGGCATGTTAGCTGGAAGATAACCAATGACAAGATCCCAGACGTACCAAACTCGCAGGCAGTCCTGACCGGCGGGACGCCCACGAAGAGGAT